TTTACAGACTAAAGCTGAAGCCTCCATGAAGCAACATATGAATCAAGAGGCTATGACCAAAAAAATCTGATTAACAGATGTCTGTTAATATATGATTGGCTGAATTTAGTTGTACAGGCTGATGTATAACTAACTGGCCTGCATAAGATAATGGGGAAAAAACACAGATTTTAAGATTATAATTTTTTTAAACAAAAATTTTCCAAGTTTTGGGACAATATAGTCTGATAAAGAGTACATTTATATACATGTTTAAGCCAGAATGATTTGACATTTAAATGTGATTTCCCAACGACTTTAAATTCTCCATCTAAAAATGATGACAGCAGCTGCAGAAAGCTATTTTAGGTTTTCTTACCCAGTCTGAATTGGATATTGCTCTGTACTTTGACTAGGCCAAAGGTTATGATCTAAAACTACCTGGTTGCAGTTCTAGTTGCATCTTTAGAGCTGGTTTTTCAGCTTAAAGGTGAACTTGTGCTCTAATCTATAATCTATTGTAACCAGCAGCTCTCCGGTCCTGCTGCAGGGACAGCCCTTTGTCATAATGAAAGCCTGAATTTTATCATTTTTTCAGCCCAACTTCTTCTCCACTTCCTCCTTGACTTGTCTGTCTTGTTGCGTGCCGTCAATTATATTGTTTGCTTTTTAAAAATGTGATTTAGCCAGCAGCTTAGATTCTGTTTAGGAAACATTTTACATGTTAAGATTAAAACAGGTCAACTTTTATGCTTTTAGTATCAGATATTTTCTTGGGTATCAATATTGGTTTTAAAATGTTATACATTCACAGAAGAGTTGGGTTTAATTTGATGAAATCATATAAAAAAATGGATTACATTAAAGGCAGGCAACTGAGCTGTAATAGGCTGAAAGGATTAATCGAATCATTTGATTATTAAAATCATTGTCAACTAATTTGGTAATAGTATCTGTTAAAATAGTTAACAGACTGGCTGAAAAATCACCTATTACAGCACTAATTAAGACAAATTTTGACAAAAAATACAAACAATTTCCATTTGAGATAAAAAAAATCTTCATTTTCTATATATATTTACATGTATATGTATGTATATTGTATATTTTTTTTACTTGTTTTTACCTGAGGAAATTCATTTAAAATGTGAATGATAGGAATGTTAATTTAATAAAAGATATTCTGTTTTAGATTAACTACTAAATTAAGTTACTACTAAAGTAATCAAGCCTTGGTTAAGTACAAATGCCCTCCACACATTTAAGATTTGTTATTTGTAAAGAAAACCAGCAACATTTACCTTCGCATTTAGAGTAATTAAATACTTTTGTTGGTCTAATAATACAGAAAAAAACTCTGATATTTTAGGTCATAAGATAAAAAGCTGCGTAAAAAGTTTTCAAGCAGATTTCAGGGGAAAACAGTAGAGAAGAATCAGCTCCTCACTGCTGCAGCAAGCGCCAACTTACTGTCAGGTTTTTCCCCTGATGCTAAAAGGTGATATAATTAGACAAGAGCAATAAAAAATAAGGATCATGGGTGAGTTTTGATTTAGAGATGATTTAAACTTGTTATAAACTACCAACAAGCCTCCAGGTCTCCTTATCTAGTCTTTCCTTAAAGCAGAGGTTCTAACTCATATAAAAGTTTTAAATCAAACCAGCGTGTTCTAACATCAGAGATGATGCCTGTGAGGCGTCGGGTGCGTCTCACCTTGGTCCACGCTGCACTGATCCGGCGTGTCGTTCCCTCCCGCTCCTGACACAGTGGTGTTCACTCCTGCCGACGCCTCGCTCACCGCGTCACTCCGATTGATGCTCTCCCTGGAGCCGAATCGGACGTGGGCAGACGGGCGGGAGCTGATGTCCGGTGACGTGTCGGACAGCCCGGGGAGGTCCTCGGCCTTTGTGGGCGTCACCGTGAAGCGGACCGACGACATGGCGGCTAGCTTAGAGGGATGGATGGATGGTTGGTTGGTTGGATGGTTGGATGGATGGATGGATGGATTGATGGATGGATGGATGAGGAAAAGGAGGGAGGGAGGGTGGATGCAGGATGCAGGGAGAGGGAAGGGGCAGCACTGTGCTGGCCTCAGCTAGGCTATCTCCCAGCTGATGCAGAGGTAACAGCTACCTCTATGGTTTCTCCCTTTGGTAACTAAATACTCCATCGAGGCAAACTGCTTGTTTTTAGTTTGGTTTCTTTTTTTTAAAAAGTTTCTCCTTCCTCTGCACCAAATTAGACCCTAAATCTGGTCAAAATGGGATAGTTTCCAGTGAGATGCTGGTCTAATCTTTTAATGACAACATGAGGACGTCTGTAGGAGGTATTGCTGAAGAGTTGCTGGGATGTTTGCCTGCCAATGAAGTAAACAAAGTTGTCCCACATCAACCACGCCCCATTAAAACACCTTTAAGATATTTTAATCAAAGGGATAGAACATGAGGGATGTAGGGAAAAGGAGAGAAAACAGAGAGAAGAAGAAAAAAAAAAAGAGTGTTATTTTCACTATATGTGAAAAATGAGCAGCTGAAGAGCTGTCCAGCTAACTGCATTCACCCGTTTCTCTAATTCTATCATGACCAGCAAGCTCTGTCATGTGTTTTTTTTTTATAAGATTTCAACAATAACTCCTCTGTTTAACCATAACCAGCAGCTTCCAGCAGAACTGCAGAAATGTCACATTTATTGCTCACGGTACGTGCACATGCCATCCCATGTGATAAAACACCAACAACAACCTCCAGCCAATAAAACTAAACCACAGCGTCTGGTGGATGGCTTCTAATAGAGGGGATCATCCTCTGACCACATCCAGTGACTGAGGTAGAAAGAAACCTCCAGAATGAGTCGCACCGATGTCCCTGATGTCCCATGGGGGCAAAGCCATGTATTAATGTACATGAGAACCCAGGAGGAAGAGCTAAACAGAGCAGAGCACACAGCTGAGGTGTTTGTTTTTCTGTCTCCCGTCTCTCTTTCTTTAGACTTGGATGATAATTTAATAATTAAAAGGAGAGCGGTTCTAACCGGTTGTACTGGAGAGCGCCAGCTTTCACTCTGCATCCAGAGGCAAGGCAGGTTTTCTATTGAAGAAAAACAACGTTTCCAGGTCCTTCAACTCTTAAAGAAGGAAGGGTGTGGAGGACAAGACGTTCAGGCAGAAAAATCACCTCACCAGGGTAAACAAAGGTAGATTTGAGAGTCAGAGAGGTTGGGTTCATTTCTGGATGAGTTTGAGCTAAAAAATAAATAAATAAATAAAAAACAGAAAAAAGGGGATCAAATGTAAATAGAGTCCCATGATTTAGTGATTGCTGCCTTTCTCCTATAGGAGCTTTACATAAAATAAAAACAGACTTAACAAGCTAGACATGTGGATTTCTCTCTTCTATATTTACATTTTTTTTAAAATGACACATTGACAACAAATATCAGACAAATGTCAGTTTAAACAACATTAACAAAGGATGGAAAATAGAGGGAGCGTCTGTTCATGCTCTTCACCTGACCTTAAAGCAGAGGTCTGCAACCTGTGGCTCTCTGACCCTCTAATATGGCTCTTAATACTGGCTAAAAATGATCATTAAGCCAACTAATGGTTTTGAACACAGTTTAAAAACAAATACAAGTCTTAGAAGCTTTAGTGGATTAGAAATTAATTTTCACAACAGAAGGAAATTAAACTACCAGAGCGACAGTATATATTTTTGTCAGTAGCCTACACTGCAAAAAGGACGTAGAATTAAGTATACATTTTTTAAATTAACTTAATTTACCCTTATTTTGAGTAGGTAATCGAGAGGATTTGCCAATGGAATAAGTATTTTCACTTTTAAAATAAAAATAATCAGATAACATGCACTTGAAATAAGATTTTTTTTGTTATTTTAAACGTAAATCATCTTGTTCCTTTGGCAAAATGTCTTACTTACCTCCTCAAATCAAGAACAATTTCACCTATTTTAAGAAAAAAAAATGAATTATTTAGATTTATATTTTTTGCCGTTTAATTTTTTTACACATCAATTAACATCATATTGAAGAAAATCCACACTGTTCTTTTCTGAGACATTTTATGTTTATCTTTGTATTAAAACCTAAAAATACATATAATCTGTTGGTTTGAAAAGGCAACAGTTTTTGCTACCGCAGATATTCAACAAAAATAATAAGTTGTGTTCTGATAAAAAGAGACATTAGGTACATTTTTACAAACAAATATCTTTA